AAATTCTAATACTGACTCAAAGGTAACTTGCAGAACAGATCCAAAGGTATTCATCTTTTGCTTTGTAAAGAAATATAGACAGCTTTTTCATTTTTCAGTCTTTTTTTTTTTTCAATGTAACAGTGTAGGAGATACTTAGAAAATAAAGGAATAAGAATAAGAAAATACCTTGGCAGTAGCCTAATAAATTGATGATATCATCAATGCTAATCATACCACAGAAGCCCTCAACCACAGGGTAAAAAAAAAAAATCAACCACTGAAAATATATTGCTCTGACTTTCTCCTCAGAAAACTCGGTTGAATCCAGCTTAAAACTGCATTCAGTGAATCCTCTAACATTTTGACTGAGGGGTGATCTGGAGGTCAGCATTGAGGTCAGGAGTAGGGCAATGTGATGAAACTTCCATTTCATTGTCAACCATGCATTTGAATGAAGTTCTTTTTTATGGGCAGAGAAAGAACTAAAGGCCAGTAGGGATACCCTGGGTTGTCAATTACTGTGTGTTTTATGTCTTGAATCATTGGCCCTAGAACCTGAAGAACTCTTTCTGTCTATTTGTTTGCTAAGAATTGACCCAAGATCCTTACTCTAACCCCTGAATATGCAGTAAACTTCAGGGTTACTGTCTTTGTTGTAATTATCATTACTACTCCCAATGTCATTCTGTTTACATACTGCTTTTAACATTTTTATTTCCATCACCTCTAATCCATTTGACTTTTCACAATAGTCCTGTATTGGTATTTCCATTTGACAGATGAAAAACATACTGGGGGTTCATTTTAAAAGACTGTAAGTCAGACATTTTCTCTATTTCAGTACAGTAAATTTCTGTGAGTTCAAGAAAATCTGTTCTTAATTATATCTCCCTCTACCATACATCATGTAACCAAATAAAAGGCCTATATTTAGTCAGGTCATGCTGTGGCTGATCACCTTACTCGTAGCAGAATAATAGTGCAAAATATACTGATAACCGTTTGGTTGGTTAAGGCAGTTTTGTCCAGAGGAATTAATATAGCTTGTATCTCATCAGATGAACACTAGATGATACAGAACTAGGAACTTGAGTCAAACACACCAAATTAGAAATTCAACAAATATCCATTAGGGACTTTTTTTTTATTATGAACAAGGCATTATACTAGGCACTGAAGGATTTATAATAAATAAGACAGTGCTATTATCTTCAAGATGTTTTACAAATCCATTGAAAGAAATGTAGTCATTTATCGAAGCTCATATAGAATCTTTTACTGAGTCTCCCTTCCTTTTTCAAGGGGAAAAAAGTGAAAAAGACCATTACATTCAGAGTTGAACCAAGAATATATAGTTCCTAAGATAAACATGCAGTTATAATTTTCTTTAAATCAAAACTTCACTGAACAGTCTACATAGCTACAAAGGATCCAAGACTTGATCATGAAAGGCTCATGGAAACCCAAAAGAGTTCTATGCATCATTTGGGTAAGACATTTAATTCAAGGCTGTACAGTGGAATGAGAACTATTAATAGTTTTTCAATGAGAATGCCTGGGTCTAGACCGGGTTCTGACATGAATGACTTTGATTTCTGGACTTAGGTAAATTACTTAACCTCATCTTTAAACTGGTGGTAGAGTTGGGGTGGATGAACCAAGATTTCTTCCACTTCATATCTCCATTAATTCCAAAGTTTATTGAACTATTTAAATAATATGAGATCCATGCATACATGATCCTGTCCACGTTAAATAAGGACCTCACTACTTCCTGCTAGAAGAGGCAGCCAAGATAAAACTTGGTTAGAATCATGATCTGATTTCCTCAGACTTGCTGAACGAGATGCCCTGGTAATCAGCAGGAGGAAGGGCCAGATTTCATTATGACACAGAGGAGGGTACACGATACTAGATATAATGAAAACTATAGCGTAGTAGAAGTGGGTAAAGCATTAAAGAAGCTTATAGAAGCTTAGTTTTTCAGCCTGTAATGAGATCATTTTAGCCATTCTGCTGTACCTTTTCCATCAGACATCTCAAATCAGAGTAACAAATGCATAGTACTCATGGAAATTTTCCTGTTAAGTGAGACCCATTGCATCATTTCACTGAAATGGAGATATACAAATAGGTGACTATTCAATATATTGAAACCTAGTCCTAACAAATATTTACTAAAGAATCATGAAGCATTACATTAGCTTCTGAGAAGACTAATAGAGATTTTTAACTTTGCTTAGCTTAGTTCTTTGTTAGAGGCAAAATGGTAGTGAAATATGAGCAAGAACCGTAGCCCTTGGGAGCTTTGAGGGGTCTTTATCTCAATTGCTTTTAAATGGCGTTAGGCGTGCCCATGTGGAGGAACCAAGGTGAAGGATCTTGTGTGGATTGACTGTCGGGCGACTGATAATTCCTACTGAGATACACTTTAATGCCAGCCCACAACAAGACGCTGGGATTGGATTTAGAGCCAGTGTAAACTCTAAATGGAGTTTTACTGTGAAACAAAACACCTGTCTTTCATCCCAAGCTAAATTGACAAGCAATAATTTAGTTGTCTAAACTGAGAGCTTTCAGGATTCCAAACTGCATAATGTCAAAAGACAATGTATAAAGTTGCATTTGGAAGTTCAAAGGTAGAATGCCATGTAGGCAAACATAATAAATGATTGGACTTTCCCCCATCCCTCCAATTCTTTCTTCTGTTCTCTCTTCCGTTTCCTTTGCTACTTTTTCTTTGAAGAAAGGACAGGGAGGAGCTAGAGGAGGGGAAGGTTGAATGTAACTATAGAAATTAGATGATTGTATGACTAAGGAAACCTAAAAAAAATCCCATTTCCTTTTTCGTGCACAAGGTGAGCATTTCCCATGGTCAGCTGCATTGCTCAGAGATTGCATCTACCAAAATACAAATAGAGAAAAGAAAAAGAATACTTCGGCAAGGTTAGTAAATTCCTCCACCATCTCCCTACAAAACTACAAAATAAAATAGCCAGGATTTTGTAGCAACTTTTTCCATACAGATTATTCTTCTAATTCAATTTTGTTTGTTAAAATCTATGTATGTGACCTCAGAAGGGCCAAATTTAGAGTCCTATATTTGACTGACTACTTGTTCCTCAAGAACTTTTAAATGAAAAATAGTAAAAAATAAACTTAGCCTTTGTTTCCCACAAGCTATCCCCTTCCACCACCACATGAAACTGCATTTCTTTTTTCTTTCTTTTTTTTAAAGATGTACTTAATTTTATCATTGTTTATATATATATATAAAAGGGCACATGCACTCATCAGAGAGAGACAAGAGAGAGAGAGAGAGAGAGGGGAAGTGAGAAAGCAAGTTGCCAGCTCTAGGGGCCTGAACTGTGGTCAGCCATGAGGGAATCCAGAGCCTTAACCACTATGCTATCTGCTAGCCCCTCTTTTTCTTTTTCTTTCATGTTTCAAGGAAAGCAGGGTCATTTAGCAAAATGAAACAGATGCTACAAAAGTAGTCAGTTAGTTTGGAAAGATATCTGATTGGACCCCACCAGCTGTCAATTAGCATTTCTCTGTTTTGTTGATGAACCGGTATTTACTTTTCTGGACTGCCATTGGCTGAGACGTTTAGTGTAATGAATGCTAAACTAAGCCTAGATAATTTTTTAAATCATAGCTTGGGGCTTAACAGCCCTTTAAATGAGTTGTACAAACAAGATAGTTGTTAATTCTCAATCGATGTATCATTAATCATCAAATAGTATTAAAAAAGGAACTATCTTTTAAACACTCAATAAACCCTGTTAAAGTTACCAAATTATTCATCCAGGGACTATTTTCTCCTTCAAAGCATGTCAAGATTTTAACAAAATTATATTTGAAGATACATATTTCTGTGATCTAGTAACTGAGGTAAGTGTATATATGTGAATATTCATTCATTGATGAAGACAATGTATAAATATACACACAAGGAGACTTCAAAAAGTCCATGGAAAAATAGAATTGAAGTCCAAGTTTATTTTGCTTCAAAAAAAAAACAACCTTTGAAATCCATACATGGTTCTTAATAATATGTATTTTCATTAATTCTTTGAAGACTCCTTGTATACACATTTGTCTTCATAAATTAATATGTCCTCAAGAAGTTAGTAACTATTATAGACTTACATCTGTAGTCATCCGTAAAATGGAAAAATAGATCCTGCAGTGAGTTCCATATGTCTTCAGGCTGCTGACACACACTGGCAAAGATTGCACCAATTTCATGTGAGAGGTCGAAGAATGGGAAAAACTGGAAATGTATTAGGTATTCTTTCCTGTAATTTATGTGCAGTGTTTTCAAATCCACTCCCAATCCTGTAGACTCAGCACTTGGGGAGCAGTCTCATAGTTCTTGCTCCCCCATCTCTTCTGCTGAATGGCAGTTCTGCCTCACTGTTCGTGGGGTCCTAACACAGTGCCTGGATTATACAATAGCATACAGTACACATATATTTCATAAATGAACAATTGCAAGTAGGGGATGTAAAGGGATGTCAAGGCACTGATATTTATTAACTATTCTTTTTTTCTCAATGTTAAGCTCAGGAGCAATATCTCATGTAGTCCTAATAACAACTCTATTAAGTAATACTATTCTTACAAGTAGTATTTTTTAAATTTTAAGGTTTATTTATTTCTTTGGGGGGGGCACTCTCTACAGGGTCTTCAAGTGACAATATATCCCAACCACCACAGCCTACCTGGATCGTGGGCAGGCAAATATACCTTGTGTGTGTGAAGAGACTCCAGGATGGAATGGAGGACCTTCCCATGTAGATCAGTACCTTAACTCTGTGCCACAATCTGGCCCATTAATTTTAATATTTATTTATATATAAATTTACATATGAATATATATTTAATAGTATCCTAATATTTAATTATAAAATCAAAGTTGTTCAATATAATGAATTATTTCATTATATTTATAATTTCATAATCATACTTTAAAAAGTCAAATAATGATAGAAAGCTTACAATGGTAATGTTTTCTCCCATTTCTTTCTCTCTCTCAGGCTCGTTTCTCCAGAGAAACATTCTTCAGTTTCTTGTCCAGGGATATTATGACGTCTGGCTGCCATTCAGAGGGATGAGAGACAAATTCAGCTTATGGCTTGAGAAAGGAGGCAGTACTATAAGGTTACTTCAGAAAGTTTGTGGAAAAATGAAATTAATGTAAGCTTATTTTGATGTAAAAATCCTTGAAAACCATGCATAATTTGTTGCCTTTTTATTTGTTTTTTTTTGTTTGTTTGTTTTGTTTTTAGGTTTTTGCCACAGGGTACCAAAGAGGAGAGGAAGACAGAGCAAATGAAAGTGAGAAATCAGCCCCACAGGGAATGGCCATGCCACAATCCCTTCTCCTCCATTCTCCTCCTGGGATTTTGGGCATGCACGCACACATGACTGGCATGATTTATCAAGCCACCAGGTCCAGGACTCAAACCATAATGTGCCATGCAGGAATCCAGCCACCTTAACCACCACGTCAGTTGCTGGACCCAAATCCATGCATAGTTTTAGTTTATTTTTTTTTATAATACCCTTCTTCCATGAAATTTTGAAGATGCCTTGAAGAAGTGTGTAAAAAGATAAATGTGATTTATTACTATCTGATGATGGAGAAGGACAGTTTTCTAAGTCAAGGGAGAAAGAAGTACCGTGTGTGTGAGGTTAAAAGTTTCTGGTGTGTTTGTGCAGCTGAAAACATAAGGCACCTGTTTGTGTTGGGTCGGTTAAGGAATATAGGCATTAGGGAATGAAGTAGAAAAGAATCTTGAACCATTGCGTAAAGGACTTAAAATGCTATGCTAAGAAATTTGTGTTTTATCATATGTAGAAAGTCAGGCAAAAACCTAAGGAAACATCAAGTCCATAGTTTAGGAAGATTTGGGAGCATGACAGAGAATGGATTGGGAAACGAAGGAAGCAGAGCTAGGCACATTAGTTATGCGGCTATTGCATAAGCAAGAAGCAATCTGTACAAGAAGCACAGAAGACCTGAATGCAATTATGCACCTCTTATGATCACTGCTGAGGCCCTGCCTAACAGCCCACATCTCCTCCCTTCATCAGTAACGAAATTCTAATTGTGTTAAGTGTCCATTTCTCAATGAGGCACCTACATCCCTAGTTGAGTGGTAAGTCCTGAGTAGTCAGTAGCAATTATAGAAAATCGACTTAATTCTAGGTGATTGGGTAAGGGGCATGCATGTGACAGTCTGGATAATGGAATACAAGGAGAGTTTTGTTGGGGGTTTTTGAAAAATGTTTCCTTTTATGAAAAGACATTTAGACAAATTCTCTTTCAGTAGACGTTTTCATGCTCAGGTGCAATATTTCAAACTAGCAAAATGCCTTACCATGAAGGTGAGCAGAAAGAAAGAACCCAAGCTTTTTAATATATTGGTTTATGGCTGATTTATTAATTCTTATTCTTCCTATTATACAAGATAATAAAGTTTCCTTTTCTCAGAATGGTATCCCACTCCTCCTCCAAATAATCCCACATGTTTAGGAAAGATTACCAAGTGTCAAGCACCATTTAAGATAATCCTACAAAGTTTGTTCCATGGTTATCCCTGTCCTAGAGGTGCCAACTCAATTTCAGTATGGTTAAGTAGTTTCCTGAAGGTCATACAGGTAGGGAAGCGTAGGGCCAACCAGAATTTGGATTCACATTTATATCCATACTACAAAATTTTAACCTCAACACCACATTGCTTCTCAAGGGTTGGTAGCAGATGAAGGCAGGGGTGCAATTTTGAAAAGTGTTTAACAGGTCATATCAATCAACTTATGGTCTTCATATACTGGATTACAAAGGATCAAAGATAAATATAGGCATTTGTTTTCTTTTAATTGAGCGACAGTGGTGAATGATGCTAAAATTGGTTGAAGCTGTGAATAAGCACAGAAATTTTGAGTTAAGAATCAGCAATGCTATGTAGTTAGTTTGGATGTCTGGAAAATGCTCCATATGCCAGTAGGAATGTAGGAGTAGGATTTTTTTTTTTCCTTTACTATTGCATTAGCTCTCGGTGGTAGGTACTTAGCAAATACTTGTGTAATTAAATAAATTAATAATATATCCCTAAAAACGTGTATAAGAATTTTCTTTCCCCTGTTCCCAACTCTCACTACCTCACTCAGATGGATATAAAATCAAATATGAATGTAACAAGGGTAAAAAGAATATAAAACATTTCTTCTAAAGAAGGCTTAGTCTTATGCATGTGTAGCTAATAAACAGCAATGATAAAATCCTTTATTTTCAAAAGAGTGATTGGTTGTATTATTTACCTGTATACTTTCAAATATAAATTCAAAGTCAAACACAAATGAAATACGTTTATTCCTTACCTGTATTTTCAGTTATCCAGCTAACAATTAGATCATCTCTCAAGGCAGTTTTTCAAGTGCTTTGTATATTTTCTTCCCTGAAAGCATGAATAGCAAGAGTCAGCAGCCCTACAATACTTTGGGAATGACAACCAAATCAGAACATTGTACCGATTCACCTGTTGCCATTCGTGTGTTCTAGGGGCATGTAGCAGCAGTGCCGATGCAAGTCAAACAATGCACTCTTGAACAGTAAATGTTTCCCTTCAGTGATCTAACTTTTTTTCTAGTAATAGAGTCAAATTGAGGGAGAAAATAGCATGTTTTAGAAGTGAGATACTTGGGACCAGCAGTTACTGTAATGGCTATGTCGCTGGACTCCCACATAGTTAACCACAGTTCGAGTCCCGTACCTGGAGGCTTAAACTCACACTGGGCATGTGTGCGTGCATGCCCAAGATCCCAAGAGGAGAATGGAGGAGAAGGGACTGCGGTGTGACCATCCCCTCTGGGGGGTGATTTCTCGCTTTCTGTCTTTCTGTCTCTGCCTGTCTTTCCAGCCAGCGCACGCGCACCCTATAACAAAAACCTCTCAAAAAAAAAAAAAAAAAAGAAAAGAAAAGAAGTGAGATACTTACCCAAGCTTTAAGGATGTCAAAGCAAGAATCAACTATTGTTAATCAAAAGAATAAATCCAGTCAGCTGACTGCTTTGTCCATATATTCACTTATTCTAGCTATTTGTTTATTATGCAACATGTAAGTTTATTAATTTTTTTGAGTTGTATTCATTTATTTCCTTCGAGAGGGAGAGAGGTACCCTTGACAGGATCTTCACATAGTGACCCTCCCCATAGCCCTACAGTCAGCCAGGATCATGGGCACACCCTGGTTGTTCAGGTAGACCTGGGAATGTGCGGTGGTGCCCCTACTACCTCTGCCACCATGGCTGGGCCTCATGCTCCATCTATTGATCATCTATAATGTGCCAAGAATTCTACCTACACACATTTGCTAAATAAAAGGAATTTGAAGATGGGGAATGTCTTCTACTCAATTTTTAGTTCTAGTTCATAGCAAAGACTAAATGACTTTTTAAACCGAAGTGAGTTACATTAAAACAAGAGAAAGGAGGAATATCAAAAAGAAATGTGGTCATAGGTGCTAGTTGCATGTGTGTGGGTGCCCAAAATCCCAAAAGGAAAAAGGATTGCTGTGTGACCATCCTCCCAAAGGGGTGCTTTCTCACTACCCCCACCACCCTCCCCAGTCTGTCTCCTGTAAGCACACACACTTTATACCAAAAAGTTAAAAAGAAAAATATGGTTCATAGGATTCTTATGTAGTAGTTTGCACAGATTACAGGTAAACGCCTCTTAGTTGAGCAATCAAGTGGCTCTGATGGGCTTCGTTCTCAAGGGTATTCACAGTGTATGCAAGTTATGACAGTTGTGTTTTGTTAAATTACTTAGTTTTAAAGACACTGGTAGTCTCTTCTCCTCCATTCTCCTGGGATTTGGGGCATGCGCACATATGAACCCAACATGATTTCAAGGTGCCAGGTCTGGGACTGGAGCCACAGTTACCCATCTGGGAGTCCAGCACCTTAATCACCACACTCCCTAATACTCTCGGGGAAAATAAGACATTGGTTTAAATACTGATGCACTACTTGCCGACTGTATGTCTGTGGTTAAGCTAGCTGTTACCTGTGTCCCTGCCTTTAGAATGGTGGTGAATATCACAATCACCTGTAGTGATACTCAAATTAGGGAATGCTAAGATGTACCTGGGGTACAAGGTAAGTCTCAGCTAAAGATGATGCAGGTACTTGGTTCTGTGTTATCATACTGTTGATACAGTCTACTTTTATCATTGTATTTGACCAAGCAGTACTGATGGCAGTTTACTTCTGTTTTGGTTTTACCTTGGAATTCAGGGTCAGTTAGGTGTTACCAGTGACATGTCTTCACATCATTGCTTTTCTGATATTACTCTGAATAAGCAATAATTGTGAGGGGGAAAGAGAAGAAGTGGCTTACTAGGACTGAATTTAATGCAGTAGTTCCAAAGTGTCATTATGAACAGACATCCTATTTCTTTGTGCTCTGTTATTTTCTTTCAGTTGGCTTTGGTACTTGTGTTCTGTGATTGGTGCCTTATGATTTTAAGAACACTGCTTCAGCTCCAGGCTTCACTTCCACTTTCTAGACAGAAGAATGGCCCACACTTGACATTCTGAAGTTTTGTGTTTTTAATCCAGGAGTATTGCCCTCTTTGGCAGCCTTTCAGTGGTATCTTGTAGGTCAGAAGTGGGTCAGTCATACATCCATCTTTAGACCATTTGCTATCTAAAGTAATGAGATTTAAATTATTATTTTAGATCAAGAAGATAGGTAAGGACCTAACTAGGAGTTGTCACCTACTACCTGAACTCACAGAGAAGGACAGCAGCCAAATGGTTATTCGGAATAGAGCAGAGTCTTCTCTCTGCACACCATAGGAGACATTGTGTTTGCTTTAAAATGAAGGATACTTACAAAGGCACTTACATTACAGATGGATGACCTCGGGCAACTAACTGGACCACTAGGAGCATCAGTTTTTTTCCTTTGTTAAACGGGGAAAATCAAATCAATCTGATGGGTTAGAAAGCTTCTGGCTCTGTCCTTGGAGGATAGTATAAATAACTTCATGATAAATGGTCACCCACTGCAAGATGTTGGCCAAGTTTACTTTAGAAATCTGAAAGTCAGTTTCTTCCTCAGCTACATGAGTGATAATGGCGAAGCAATTCTTGTAAAGCTTTCAACATAGCTTCAAAACACTACAGCTCAACGACTTAATCATGATAATGGAAATGATAAAGAGAACAATCACAATATAAGCTGGTAGTCCATTTGTGTATTCTTCGAGACTCCAAAGAAATATACTTTGACTGAAAATAATTACACAGCTTTGGAGCCCTACTTTAAAAGGAAGTTCTTTTGGGTCTTGAAGGAAATTTGGTTTAGACCATTTGCTATCTAAAGTAATGAGATTTAAATTATTATTTTAGATCAAGAAGATAGGTAAGGACCTAACTAGGAGTTGTCACCTACTACCTGAACTCACAGAGAAGGACAGCAGCCAAATGGTTATTCGGAATAGAGCAGAGTCTTCTCTCTGCACACCATAGGAGACATTGTGTTTGCTTTAAAATGAAGGATACTTACAAAGGCACTTACATTACAGATGGATGACCTCGGGCAACTAACTGGACCACTAGGAGCATCAGTTTTTTTTCCTTTGTTAAACGGGGAAAATCAAATCAATCTGATGGGTTAGAAAGCTTCTGGCTCTGTCCTTGGAGGATAGTATAAATAACTTCATGATAAATGGTCACCCACTGCAAGATGTTGGCCAAGTTTACTTTAGAAATCTGAAAGTCAGTTTCTTCCTCAGCTACATGAGTGATAATGGCGAAGCAATTCTTGTAAAGCTTTCAACATAGCTTCAAAACACTACAGCTCAACGACTTAATCATGATAATGGAAATGATAAAGAGAACAATCACAATATAAGCTGGTAGTCCATTTGTGTATTCTTCGAGACTCCAAAGAAATATACTTTGACTGAAAATAATTACACAGCTTTGGAGCCCTACTTTAAAAGGAAGTTCTTTTGGGTCTTGAAGGAAATTTGGTCATTAAGAATTTCTTTCTTAAATTCAAAAGGGGCACTGAAGTTAGGTAGCCCTTAATATTGCCAGCTGCCCGCTACTATGATGTTAAAATTGATTACTAAGTCTTTTCTATAACTATTTATTTACTGGTTTGGTAAAGACTGAAAGAAAATATTCTTTCTCCCCACTGCCCCTCCATCCCTTCCTCTGCCTGTAAATCTAAGAAAATTCATTTTCAGAAGCTCTAGTTCTTGTCAAATAGACTTTCTTGAATCCAATTTTTCTTTTATGATTTAAAAAATTTGTTTCAGTAGGCCCAGCAGGATGGGCTTCTGCCTCAGGCTAGACAAGCCCACCCAGAATTGTCACAGGTTAAGCTCTGACTGCAAACTCCACCAAAGTGGAATTCAATGGATACAAGCATTGGCTTCCTAAGGGAGTCTCTGTGAGCTCTTCTCCCATCATTTCTCGGGAAGCTCTGGGGAATGTTTAACCCCTTTTATCCTGTTCTTTTTTTCCCCCTCATCTGTCAATAATTATTCCATTTTTGTAATATTTCAAATGAAAAGGCCCTTTGTTATCCAGTTTGGGAGATACTAGATAATCTTGTCTTCAGGTTGGGAAGCTCTAGAAACCTGGGAATTAGGTGGAGGATTTCTCTGGGAACTGGAAGGGATCCTTAAACTTTTAAGCTCAGCTACTCAAGACTTTTAAAATAAGAGGAAGAACCAAATGGATTGAAAAAAAAAAAATGGATTGAATAAAAAAGGTGAAAAAAGTTAACTTTACTCCGTTTTCTAATGACCTCAATCTGCTTCTGATCTTACGTTTCTTATTTTGCTTTCCTTAACCTTCTTCACCTCTCTCCAGGTCTATAGCCCAGATAGTTATCAAGTTTGTCGATTCTGTCCTTGAAGAATCTCTCTCTATGGCTTTGTGGAGGAGTCCGACCCGGCGGGGGCCCCAGGATCTGTCTGAGCCCCCCTGCTTCCGGTCAGTTCAGTACATTGGCAAGGCCACTTTAGGAAGTCCCCCGGCCGGTCCCTTTTGCTCTGACTACCTACTGTTAATTACAATACTTTACTCCGGGGGGGTCACATTGGAGGATGTGATAAAGTCACATCTAGGCAGCAATCCTCTTGACCTTTGGAAGGCCCAGGGCACTCCCGCCACACTCTGGCTAATGTTCCAACAAGATACATAACAGTGGAGCCACAGACTCAATAGAATGCCACAAACTCCTCTTAAAAGTTCCCCATTAACTCCTTAGTCATTTTACCACCAGTTGAAAAGACTGTCCCCACCCTTACCTAGTAAACAGTAAGTTTTACCCCTTTAAGATATATTAGGGTTTCTTAAATTAAGTTTTAGATCCCTATACAATTATATAAGTTTCATTCTTTATTAAGATCCGTAAGAACTAATATCTATACTTGAGATTTTCTTTTCTCGGCACCATTCCCAGTAATCACAAGATGGCTGCTGTGCCGCATCAGCTAATAATCATCTCTGCTTGCTGGAGCCACTTTCCCGGAACTGCATTCCATGGAGACCCACCTACATCAAAGGAACAATTGCGAAACTACACTAGACCCACCTTTAATCCAATCCTGAATGGAACTTTTGTACCTTATTGTTAAAAACTTTATGAGCTAATAATTAAAACACGTAGCCCCTCTCCCACTTACTTCCATGTAACACATTTTCAATAAAAATGCATGATGATTTCTAGCAGTTGTCACTCTTCAGAGAGCAATCTCTGAGGGGGGTCCGGCGAAGGATGTGCATAAAAAAGGCACCAAGACCTTAGTCATCTTCTTCACCTGCACCACCTCCATCGAGTCAACCCACCCCCACCAAGGCTGGACCCCGGCAGCTTTGCTTCTTGTCTGCCTCCACCCTACTCAGGTTGGAGATAAACACTATAACACAGATCACTGTGCTATATCCAGTCCCTCCCCCCATGATCCCGTACCCCATCCATGGAACACATTATTCTGCAAATGCAGTCAAGTTGCCCCCTACCTAGTCCTTAAGTGACTCCCAACACCTTCATGATTGTTTTCTGAGCACTACACACAGGGTTTATTTTGACATGGCTCTAACCTGCCTTCAGGCTCATAACCTGCTCTTTCTCCATCTATTCTTAGCTATAGCCATACTCATCTTACTGCTTGCCAACATTACAGGACTCCCCAAGTTCACCTCAGCATTCACCATCTAATTTGAGTATCACTATAGGACTCCCTGAGCTTCCTCTCAGGGGTGATGGCCATGCTCCAATCCCATCTCCTCCATTCTCTTCTTGGGATTTTGGGTATACACGCACATATGACTAATGTGTTTTTCAAGCCACCAGGTTCAGGACTTGAACTGCACAATTGGCTCTGGGGGACCTGGCTGCCTTAACCACCAAGCCACCTGGCTGGCCCAGGGGCTCCTATCTTTAACTCTCTGCATACAGTTATGGTGAAATAACATGAGATTTACCCCCAAAATATAATCAAATCTAAACTCTTCCCTAGGGTTAGAGCCATAGCTCTGTGATGGTTTTCCCATTCTCCCCTCTGCACCTCGTACCAACAACCCACATCTGCTAGGCCCTCCCTATACCTCTTCCCACTGCTTGCCCAAATATCTCCTTTTCAACAAACCAAGCCTGACTGACTGACCATCTCATTTACAATGACACCCCTGTCTCTGCCCACATTCCTGATTCCCTACTCCATATGATCTTGTTTCCATAGTACTTGTCATCTTATAGCATCCTGCATAAGTATTTTTCATGTTTGTTGTTTATTGTCTATCTCCCCATACCTCAGGATACTAAATTTCTTGAAGTTGAGAATCTCCATGTGAATGGACTGAAGGATTGTGAGGGAAGAGATTATCTGATTATTTCTTTATTTAACACATACTTTTATTATGCTGGCCACATGCCAGGTACTGTTCCAAACACTTGCCAATTTTAACTTATTTAATCCTAATAGCAAACCCAAAAAGCAACTTCTATTATTATCTCCAAAATGGAGGCGAGGAAACCAAGGCAATGGGAGGTAAAATGGCTTGCCTGGACACAGCTGGCTGGAGGCACAACCAGGATGGAAACAGAAGTGGTTGTTCCTGAGTTCTTGCTTTTTGCTACTGTACTACATAGTCACCTTTATGCCATGCTGAATAAAAATAATGCATGAATGATTTTCAAAACATTTAAAGCACTATTCACTTCCCTGTCCCTATTCAGGAAGTTAGCTGCTCTACCTTAATACTTACTATACCAAGATTTAATGCCAGGCTGAAGGTCCTTTGAGATGAAAGTTCAGGAACTGGCCCATAGGACACCCTTCCATATTTGCTAGTCCAAGTGGAGTTGAAAGTGAAAAGAGTCATTGTTTGTAGCATGAGTTGTTTGTAGCATGAATTTTAAAGACTATGAAATCCAAAATACTCCAAAAATTGGGGTCAGCTGTTTGGGAAGGCAGATTTTTGCTGGTACTCAAGGAAAGGCATTTCCTTGCTTGCCTGACAAATTTTAAAGACAGATTGTATTATTCTAAACACAAGTTTGTTAAAACTTGGGTACATCTGAATATCACCAATTAAAAAGAAAAAAAAATAAAATAAAACAATAGTTTTCCAGTAGCACACACATCTTTACATTTCTTTTTCTTGATGTAAGTCAGTAACAATTGGTACCTGTATAGGTATGTATGTGATATGGTGAGGCAATGTAAGCAGCAGGGCGTAGATACGAGATGCACGGCCATCCTTCACTTTTTCACATCCCTAGCCACCCAGTAGGAGGTGTTGCTGTGCGCTAAAAGGGCTGGGCCACACTCTCTATGCATTTGGCTGCCCTCTAATGGGAGATGTAGAAATAACAGGCATTAACATGGGCAGGAAACCCAAGTAATAATATCAACATCAACAACATGATATTAACAGTCACTAATACTGCTTAGCAGTTTGAACATCTTCTGATTTATATCCAAGCTATAAGCTTTATATCTATTTTTCCACATAATTATTATAGTGGTTCAGTAAAAATTCTACTAATGGCCCATTTTATAGATGAAAAGACTGAGATTCCATAAAACTTAAGCAATATGCTCTGTCACCCAGTGACAGAACTGACAATTGACTCCAGATCTATAGGACACAGGAGTTTATGTTCTAAGATTAAATCTAATAATAGAAAATCCAGGAACTGGGAGAGGGAGGGTGGCTAAATCATGCCATATCTCAAGTTAGGCAAAGATGATAGTTACTATGGAAATTAATAGCAATACTCTGAAATTATTATTATTAATATCCATTTTTTTCATGGTAATGATAATGTTAAAATAGTGAAACAAGACTTCTTACATTCTTACCTATGTAGAGGAAAAGTATTTGGTGCCATAGTTGGACATTATTCTTTTAAATCCTTTTTATCCTTCTTCCTGTAGCTTTCTTCTTTCCTTCCCTTTTGCTGTCTGATATTGATGCATCGTACTTCCATATCAGATCAAAAGCATATGGGATTTTGAACTTATTGACACTGTTCTGTTAAAAATTACATTTAGAAGCATGTTAAAAGGTCACCTCTCTGGTTACTTATTTCTTGACACTTTGCTAGCACGGACTGTAGCCTTGGTTCATTAGTCAAGGATATTAACAGCCAGGGTTCGGCTTTCTGAAGTCACATGATACAGTCTGGGCCCACACATATTTCTAAGGCTTGTTAGAGTCTTTATTCTTTAAGAATTTCCCATTAATCTCTGCCCAAGAAGTGCAATAATAGGTTAGTTAGTCATCAGATACAAATCAGAATCATTTCTACAAGTACCTTTAATAGCATTCATTAGTTCTGTGCTTATGTTTTAAAGGATATGAAGGTGGGGGAGGAAAGGCTCCCTTTCCAACACAGAATCTTTTCCTTCTTCAAGCATCTCATTTTGGAGTCATCGAAATTAAGACATGGAGAATGTGTCAAATCAAATGCAGAAAATGTGCTTTTCCTGTGGAAATGAGGGCTCCTACAATCCTGACTTTTCTTTTTTCACATAGAGGCATCATCTTTGATCATTATCAGACTTTACAACTCATTGTTCCCTTCCAGTCTACAGGGTGAAAGGATCATGTAAATGGGCAGGCAAACACTTGGATTATAGAAGGCACCCGATTTTAATAACAGCAATAAAAACAATGTTTACCTAACTTGGGTAGATTGTATATATAGATAGGATTTGTGTGTGTATATGTGTGCATGTGTGTGTGTGTGTGTGGGGGGGGTGCGTTTCTGTGTGTGTGTATCCCCCCTCCACACTCAGAAAGAAAATATCAGAAGATCAGAAAATGCATTATATGATTTTTGTATGCAATGTTAGTCCATTTCTTGGCGGAGACCCAAATCTATTGTGGCGAAAAAGTAATAGATGAACTAACTAGGGACTCAGACTCACTGGCTAGTGTCCAAGAAACATTAAAAAATTGAGTACTGAACATAACAAGTAGGATGGTGCATGCAAATTTAGATGTCTTATTGAAAACAGCACATTTATTAATATATTAGACTTGTAGACGTGAGGGTGTTTTAATACCTACTCAGAAATTACTCATGGGTCGGCTTCACAGAAATATCACTTGCATAAGTGTGAGCTTACAGAAGTGGTGCCAGGCACCAGTGATCATAGCTGGACTAGTCTAAAGAAAACTGGGACGCCATAGCTAACCATACTGTCCTGCACACTTAAAATTGTGTTGAGGACAGATCTCACATTAAGTGTTCTTACCGTAATACAATCAAATTTTTAAAAAAGGAAACTGAGAAATAGGCAAAATTAAATTTCGTCACTCTCAAGGCATCACCTTTCTTCTCAACTCACTTAACATTAATTTATTGAATGCCTACTATGCATCAGGCTCTTTTTGGCAATACTGGGAAAGCCCGGATAAAGTAGAAAGATTCAAAGATTATTGCATAGGAACTCATTTTTGTCAAGTTTATTAAGCGAGAATTTATATATAGTAAAAAAGTAGCCTTTTAAAATATACAGTTGGACAGTGGTGGCAACTCTATGCAGGCATACAGTCACCACCACAATCAATATTATTCAGGACATTTTGATTGTCCCACAAACTTCCTTGTTCATTCTTTGTAGTCAGCACCTCTCTTAGACTCCCAGCCCCTGGCAACCACTGATCTGATTTTGTCTTTTTAAAAATGCCATGGAAATGGAATCGTAGAAAGTATAGCAGAGCCTTTTGTGTCTGCTTTCTTTCACTTAGCATAATGATTTAGGATACATCCTTGTTTAGGTATCAATAATTCACCCTTTCATTGTGGAGCAGTGTTCTCTTTTTTTGTTTTTAAAGAATTATTTTATTTAACTTTCTTTCTTTTCTTTTTTTACTCTTTCCTATCTCTTTCTATTTTTAATTTTGAACAGAGAGGGACAGAGTGGGGGTGGGTGGGTGGGAAAGCAAACTGCCAGGTCTGGAACTCAAACTGCGGTCATCTATGTGGGAGTCCAGCACCCTTAACCACCACACCACCTGTCAGCTCCCCCAGCAGAGTAGTCGTCTAAGTATTTATAGACTACATTAACCAGGTGATGGACGCTGAATTGTTTCCAGTGTTGGTGACTGTGGATCAGGCTACTACAAGTATTAGTGTGCATTGTGCAGGTGTATCTGTTCATCTTTCTTGGGTAAATACCTGGGAATGGGATTGCAAGGTCATATGGTAAGTGTTAAGGTTCATTTTATAAGAAACTGCCAGCGAATTCTCAAAATGATTATACTATTTTGCTTTCCCATTATGATGGGTGAGATTTTTAGAAGATCCACGTCCTTGTTGGCACTTAGAATCATAAGTCATTATTTTTAACAGTCACTTTAGTTGAAGTCATTCGTACAAATGGGCAATGATATCTTATTATGGTTTTTACTTGCATTTTGCTGATGACTTAATAATGTTAAGCATATTTGGATGTGATTATTTGCCACCTATGTCTCTCCTTTGGTAAATTGTCTATTAAAACATTTTGTCCAGTTAAAAAAAAATCTGTTTTTTGTCTTACTGCATTGTTCTGTAAATTTAAATAATCACTTTCTACATATGTTAGTGGAAATAATACCTATTACACTGCTTTGATGTAAAAGTCAATGCACTATCTTATATAACAATTTGTAGCATAATGCCTAATTGTAGGCATTACATAAATAAGTATTACTCTACCACCATTATCATAAGACACAATATTTTTTTGCTACTGTTATTGTAAAACATGATTTCTGTCCTAACAAGCCTACCATCAAGTTACATTCAAAGCCTTTCACTCTTTTCCAGGTAATGTGAATCATCATATTACCTGGGTTTTGGCTAACCTTTGATAAAGTACTACATGGTAACTAAGACACTACCTGGTAGGAAGTCATCTAATAGTTTTTCCAGGGTCGTTTTCATTATTTAAGAAGAAATGGCATCTGAAACCTGGATGGGGGCTGTGTTGGTAGAATGACAGGTTGGTGCAGTTGGTTTGTTGTAAGATGACTTCACAGTTGCCTCTTACTTGCTCAGAATGCAACCCCAGAGAAGAAACAGCTTCTAGGACCATTTCTGAGAAAGCCCTGCTGAGGGCTTTTCTAGGCTTCTCAGGGAGGGTCATGAGGTCCTGAGGCATGGGAATTTCATTTTTCTAAAAGTTATAAAGACGAGATGAAAGGGAAATGCTAATGGGCAATAAATAGTTGCGGGGAAAACTGTTCCATTCCACTAGTGATTACAGAATGTAAATTAAGACAAAAACATGGGACCAGTAGTTAGTGTAATGGCTATGTTGCTGAACTCCCACGTAGTTGACTGCGGTTCGCGTCCCGGACCTGGTGGCTTAAAACTCACACCGGGCGCGTGTGCATGCATGCCCAAGATCCCGAGAGGAGAATGGAGGAGAAGGGTTTGTGGTGTGGCCATCTCCCTGGGGTGTGATTTCTCGTTTTCTATCTCTCTGCCTCTCTGTCCGTTTGGCGAGCGCACGTGCCCTATAGCAAAAACCTCTCTGCCTCACACACAAAAAAGAGAAACCACAATAACACTTTAAAATACTTAGCAAAACAAAAATTGAAGTCTGATAAATCCAAAGGTCTTGACAATGCAAGAATGTAAAGTTGAAAAACACTGAAGATGTCCCTTTCCTACGACCCTACTGCCCAGTAATGTCACTTCGTTGTGTCCACTCTAGCGAATTTGTTTTTCATGTTCAGGTATGTTCATTGCTGCATTATGAACATGGAAAAGCATTCATCTATTTTTTCACTCTTAATTTATATATATGTGTGTGTGTGTATGTGTGTGTGTGTGTGTGTATTGGGTTGTTGGAAAAATCATGATGTATTTTTCTATGTATAAATACATCATTTTTGACAACTACATATATATATATATACACTATATATGTATAAATATTTAAAATATATATGTATATACACATATATATTTGTTTTTGCTGTAAGATGCATGTGCTCATTAGAGACAGAGAAAGAGAGAGGTGGGGGAAATGAAAACTCATTTCCCAGCAGGGATGGCCCTGCCACAAACCCTTCTCCTCTACTCTCCTCTTGGGAATTTTGGGCAGACACACATAAGTGCTCAGTTTGATTCTCAAGCCACCAGGCCTAGACTTGAACCTCCAAGTTGGCCATGTGGGATCCAGTGCCTTAACTACCATGCCACCTGATGGCCCAATATTTTTATCAATAATATCTAATATTTAATTTGATGTTTAGCTTTTCTTTTTTCTAAAAGTTACTTTCTTTAGAAAATCTACTAGGATGAGCTGTTCTTCTTCTTCTTCTTTTTTTTTTTTAATTTGTTTTTGGGCATGTGCATTTGCCAAAGAGAGATGGGAGGTGTGTGGGATTAAGAAAGCACCCCTGCCCTGTCACAACGTCTTCCTCTACTCCTCTACATCCTTCTCAGACATGTATACCCAGGCAGCCAGGGTGTGTTTCAAGCTGCTGGGTTCAGGACTAAACTGCAGTTAGCTATGTGGGATCCAGTCATCTTAACCACCATGCCAGTAGCTGGCCGATCCATTAATTTTTTTAAATGTTTAATTAGCATAATAACTTATACATATTCATGGGATACAGTGTGATTCTTCGGTGCATGAATACAATGTATAGTGATCAAAGGATGGTGATTAACATATCTATCATCTTGAACATTTGTCATTACTTTGCATTGGGACAATAAAAATGTATTTCCAGGATAGCTCAGTAGCCTAGTGGTTAAGAAAGCTAGATCCCACATGGTTGACCACAATTTGAATCCTGGCCTGAAAGACTTGAAATACATACTCGGGGTGTGTGTGTGTGTGTGTGTGTGTGTGTGTGTGTGTCAAAAACCTCTCCGCCCCACACACACAAAAGAGAAACCACAGTAACACTTTAAAATACTTAGCGAAACAAAAATTGAAGTCTGATAAATCCAAAGGTCTTGACAA